CTGTAAAACCAATATATAAGCACTATACAAACTGCAATTCGAAATTTTATGTGAACACCCTTTTTTCATGTTTTATGGTTCACTTGTCTCTGCGTTCGGCCTTAAACGTCACGCTTTAAATTTTTACAAAGGGTGAATCTGTTCACATTATAATAAGAAAGAAATTATTGGACCCTTATCTTTCGTCAAGTTGGAGAAAATGCCAGAAACCACAATGATATCAACTTCACATTGGCTTGAGAAAGTCATCGATCAGGAATATTTGAACTTTCATGATTTCGATAAATTCTCGGATCTCGTTCCAGTAGGAGACGGACCACTCGGCAAAGTATATCGCGCACAATGGCAGATTCGCGGCATGGTTGTGGCATTAAAAAGTTGGATTGATGAGACGAGCAAAGAGGAAAAACGGATATTGGATGAATTTATGAATGAGGTAAATAACAGATGCTGGAAAAGGACATTTGGTTTTTTAATAGATTGTGAATGAATGCTTGAATTGATTTTGTTTTAATTTGCGATCCTATTATATTCTTATACAGCTAAAGATGCATCGAAAGGTTGATTACCATCCCAATATTTTAAGATTCTATGGATTAAGCAAAGGTAATAATGATTATTATAACTTCTTTTATGTCCTTGCCATAGAAACTAATCATCATTTACCTCCATCATCTATACATTCATCTTTTAATAATCTTAATTCTCATATCCTTTTCATCCACAAAGACGTGTGCTCAAAAAAATACTTACTTGTCTTAGAGTATGCGGATGGAGGAACTCTTCGACAATACTTGAAACAAAATCATTCATCATTGACTTGGGCTGACAGAATAAATCTCGCAAGACAAGTGACCAGTGGTGTTGCGTGTCTACACGATAACGGTATTTTACTTGGGGACTTGGTAATCACATTTCTAAATTATCTTCCATTTTGGAATTCGTTACATGGAATCTCAAAATTTTTTTCTCTTTAATTTTAAAAGCACGCAAACAATATACTGGTTAAAGACGGTGCGATAAAAATTTCTGACATCAGCCTATCAAAACAATTTTCTCGAATATCCGATGCGGTTTCAGGTGCCAAAGGAGACATTGCATATGTGGAACCACAGAATTTAAAGAGTTTGCAATATGAACCAAACGATAAATCAGACATTTATAGTATTGGTGTATTGTTATGGGAAATATCAAGTATGTATTTGTGAATTTATTGAGTTGTGTAAACTTTAATACCTCCAGAGTTCTCATTTTTTTTTTTTTTTTTTAAAAAAAAAATAAAAAAGGTGGACGACCACCATTTCAAACTTCCGCACCGCCTACAGCTATGTCTCAAATCCAAATTGCTACGCGAATATCTAATGGAGAACGCGAAGAGCCAGTGAAGGACTCACCTTGTGAGTACGTCAAAATATATAGACAATGTTGGAGAGATGA